ATGAGCCTTTCGAAGCTTACTCTCAGCTAGATGGACCGCGTGTGCTACGGCCAGCAATGAACGTGCACGCGCACACGGAGTCCGTCGTTCTCGCTTTGTCACGACTGTCTTAGGTCTGAAATTCGATCCGATCTCCGTTTTCACTTCCTTTGTTAGCAACGTGTGTGTGCGTGGGTTTGCAAGCGGCCGTGTGAGATGCAGACCAGGGAAACGTGGTCTATTCGGTTCACTTTCTCCACTACTGTTCATAGTTAAATGACATGGTTTCGGCGGTCTAATAACTTGACGCAATGTATCATAATGTCACTGACCTACCGTAGCAAGACACCTGAATCCACGCCCATCGTTCCACCTGGTTCAATTGCGATGGCAACACATGAACATGTGGAAACCGGACCGCTCGGTTGGTCTGTGCCACGAAATGTGGCAAAATGTAGTGTTCGATTCCAGGTCTCAGCCATCACTGAACTGAGACCGACAACTAAACAAAATGTCCAGCGGTAGTAGGTGAAACATGCATTGATATCATTTAGTAGTTGGGTGGCGTCACTGGTAGAGATGTAGGGACCGTCGCTTCTGTGTCACCTGAGAGAAAAGGACATATACGGGAAGTGGAGGACAGCCACTATTGTTTGTTTGGGCCGCGTGCTCTATTTTAACAAAATAAGATAAAACGTTGTTCTTTTGTTCGCAGCTAAACACGGATCGGCTCACAACGCAGTCCAAAGTAGGGCACAACGGAAGAAGTGTACCGAGTTGCAATCACCGAGTGTAGCTGCTGAACCAAACGAGAACTAGAATCAAACCTCTTCTGGTGAGACAGTCGTTGAGTTAGAAATTCGTATGCAACTGTGACAGCATCATGCGTGGCTCAAAGGTTCTTGCATTGACACAGCACATCTGTCAGTTGTCCTCGCTCTTGTGAGTTGTGTACTCCTCCTGGTAGAAATTTGCTAAAATGAGGAACGCATACGAATTCGTATCGTAGCTTAGACGAAAAGCAATCCCACCTCACTAAGCTCTTTCCTGTATACATACAACTGGCACAACTAGACTCCGTCGAAGACAGCCATCACATGTTCGAGAAAACATTGGAGCATCGTTTCATTTTTTCAAGTCCGCCCTACTCAACAGTAGTGTGCAAATAAATGAGGAGAGATCCTCATCGCATCACATTCAGTAACTTAGGTATGAAGGTCGTTACCGGTCCTAGTGACCCAGTTGTAAAAATGTGGTCATGGAGTCTAGCCTCACAAGAGGCAGGTAGAGTGCTCAGTTCTGACGATTTTCGAAAGGATGAAACAGCAGTCTAATGAGCAGAGGGGTCATTTTGGAGCACTTGTTGTGTAAATGGATTGCGACATGCAATCTCCCTAGGGACTGCAATTCACTTCGAAGGTACAGTTCCAATGATTGGCGTTCATTTCCAAATGAATTGCAATGCGGATTGAGACAGTGTGTCGAAATCTCTTTACACAATAAGTGCTCAAAATGACTTGAATCAATGATTCCGCTCTGCGACTCAGTGACTAAAGGGGCAGAGGTTTCGACTGACAACCCGAACGACTCGGGTTCGATTAGCTGCCGTGTTATCTCTGAGGAGTGCTAGTAGGCACGAAACCGGTCGAGATGTGTCGCGCATCCCAGTGGTTTTCTGGGCGTATGATGGTCATTCAACTAAATGTACGTCATACGCAGCCGTCCCTACCTGTGCAGTCATCGATAAGCATTCGAGTAATCGGGGACAGCTAATCGAGTTGTGACATCTCAAGTTAGTAAGAGTACAAAAACAGGGATGGCGAAGCCAAGCGGGTGGGAAAATCAAATGAAACCGAATGAACACTTGAAATACCCATCGGGCTGAATATGTTATAGTTAGAGGTAAGAGAGTAAGCCTACCACAAAGTGCTCAATAGCATTATGCCACTGTTTGCCACCATACATCTGGATGAATCCGTGAGCATGGTACCGGAGTGGAATGCTCGTCTGTGCTTTTCAATGTAACGATCAATCTCTTTGTAAATGCTTGTGCCACTACTTGACATATTTGGGGTTTCCTCTGGCAAGCATGTTCGCAGCAAACAACACATGACGAATCATGGACAGTAGACGAACATGTGGACTCCGAAGTTAAATGTAGGCAGCGCAGATATAGTGAAGGTATTCGTTCAATGTCAGAGGATCTACCATCAAACGTCGGATGATGAACAAGAGCGGTAGATGTTGACAGTGCTTCATAGACGAGTAAGCACTAAGTGTCTTTAGCGTGCGTTAGCAGCGTCACAAATCATGTTCGTAACAGATGAACTGGTTCGAAAAACCACATGGGCTAGGTGGAGACATGCAACCGTAGCTTCACCTCCGGAGCTCATGCAACCGACCATATACGTCAACCGAGTAAACGCTACGCGTCGCTATTCGTCCACTAACTCTGGTAGAGTGTCATCCACAAACCATGCAGTTATAACCTATGAAGCTCAAATCAAATCATGTAGCTCTTTGCAATATACATGCTGGATCTGGGCACCAAAAATCACAACCATATTATCCGATTACATTAATCAGTTGTCCGCGAGAGCTTTCCCTGCAGACGAAATAGCTAAAATGAAATAATCGTACTCATTTAATTTAAAAGAAAGCAATATAGCAGAGGATTGCCCCGCTTTTCGTGGTGAATTAAGTGCAGTATCCTCTCGATAACTATGCGTCGTCAGAAGAACAGAAAACATGGATCGAATAACAGCGGGAAACTTAGGTGACATGACTGACGGCTATGGTCAAAACAAGTAAAAGTGAGGTCTTTCACGCCACAAAGATAGGTGATTGCAGATCCTCTAAATCACCAGCGCGGGTCAACATGCATTCCAGAAGAAGCGGTTAACACGTTCTCAACATAGACTGAATTTAAGCTGCACTTGACTGATTCCCCTCTCTCGTGGCTGGAGCCGCTCAGCGTAAGACTTAATGAGGAACGGACAGCAACAGCATATTTGCTTCCCTCTTCCAAACTGACTGCCTGTTGATGTATATACTACCATGTTCACGGTAGCCTATTTCGACATTGGAGCGGAGCAATAAAAATTGTTGCGTAGCTATCTTGATTATGTCATCTTTGCGCATATGGGGTCTAGTTGGTTGTGAATACACGGTCGATCCACTCTCATCACGTATGTTTGTAAAATGGGCTCGCGCAAGACACCGGACTTCCTCCCACTCCTTCTTCTTATTCTTCGCCACTACGGTCATGTGTTAAAGTATGCTTCGAAGGCAGATAACTCCCAACGTACTTCCCTGATATGTTGTTGTTGTGGGCGGGAAACTGATTCAAAAAGATGCCTCACGTTGGCAGTTTGGACTTAGCGACAAGGGGCTTCATGTCGAAGGTAGATTCAACAAGCATTGTTAACTTCTTTCAGATATTAGTATGAAAGTACTCACCACGTACGCTACGCCACTTTGTGCCATCACTGAGGAATCACCTGGTTTCAGCGACAACAAAAAGGGTCATTAGTGTTGTTCATCTTGCTGTGCCTCGATAGAACAAGTTGATGTCCAGTTCATTTGGTGTCGGGAGTCTGATGGTCAGCCGCTGTGGTGAATTTAGACTAGCGATACGGCGGATAAATCGGGCGGTCGTTTGAAATACTTGCTCTAGTAGTTAAGCCGATAATTTATGACCTTGCTGAAGAATAATTCCATGCTTCGAAGGACGAGGAAGTAAATTCCGTGACCACCGAAGACATTATATTTAATCCCTTGATTGTGCTGTCTGAGGATAATTAGCCCAGAACTCCTCGTCGGCAGTCATTTCAAGGAATAGTGATCACTAAACTCGTTTGACTAATGAAATCAGCTTCCCCATTGGTAGGCAGAGCCGATATCACAGAACCATACAGCAAAAATGTATATCAGATCGGAAGTAACGTCAACACAACATCTGTGCTTCATTCAACACGAAACTTATTTAGGTAGTAGCTGCTATCATTTTTCATCCGGTTACTTGTATCTCCTGGTTCGTAATTTAAAATGAATGACAAGTGGGTTGTAAGTCGAGCATATCGTTGCAGCGGGAACATTACCTGATATGCTGTTTTTGTTAAAATATTAGCTCAATTCAGGTAACCTATTTTGATTAATCAATGGCAACGCGATGACTGCTGATCTCTGGAACTGTTCAGACTAGTTCCCTGCCCTGGTGGTAGACGAATGTCATGAGAACAGTTGAGGTGCTTGTTGAGACGCTGAAGCAGACATGGTCAGGTAACTAGGTTACCATTGTTGTACAGAAAGAATCAACTCCATGGTCTCCCGCAGGTATTCGGATGATAGCAGTTGGCATAACGAGAAGTTTACACCACCCATAACGATCACCCAATTCAAGTTTTGACCATTCGCCTGAGGAATGATAGCTGATACTACAACCCATTTGATGGCACTAATGTTGTCGTCGTGGGCAGGTGTTCTGAATGCCTATTTTCACCAATTGACATGTGACTTTGACTTCGAGGGCAAGGTGCCCTTTGTCAGTGAGTCCTGGTAGAATGAAGAGGATGTCCTGCGCTTTCTGGATGTAAGGCCGTTACCTGACAGGCTCGTTATGACGAAAATATTTGAGATTAATTCTGTTTGGCTCCCGTTAGATTTTTAAGTCGATTAGGCCAATCCTGTGGTCCCCACTCACTAGCAGCAGGTCTTCGATCAGTTCCTTTATTGGCTTGGAGTGAACGATAAGTATTGAATTCATTCGCCTGTCTAGTAAATATCTCAAACACCGATCCACCGTGTTACCATGTATGGACTTTGCTTAGAGGCTGGGGCCAAATAAACATATTGTGAATATCATACTGCTTTATGACAAGAGCTTCACTATAGGGGTACAGTGAAAATTCTATTGATTTATTGTCGAGCTCATCCGCTACATGTTTTTGATTCAACACAACAAACATCGCCATTTGTGCCGGACTTTAATAATGTTCATCCTATCGCCACTCCTCCTTCAGCACCTATTGTGTCGCAGCAGATGAGTTCCCCAATACGAATGGGGAAACGGCCGGCAAGTTGCAAAATCCTGCCGCTATCAGACGGACATCATCCAATATTTCTAGTGAACTTCTGAATTCACATGGGACAGGTGAGGAAACAGGATTTGGTGGCGTAGTGCGAAGCACGATCCCAATGACGCCAGATGGTAGACATCATGTTTTATCAGTACCGGATCTGTTGGATAACTTCGGCACACCGGTCTCCGTGGCAAACAGTGCCGCAAGTTTGAGAGGAGGAATGGAATGGATGAAGAAGTTGGCTTTTCGGTACCGTCGGATAAAAGAGATATACAGTGTTTACAGGTGAGTCGAGTAGTCATGTAGTCGGATAAGATAGTGCGGTGCATCATCCAGTAGAAATTTGCAACGTAATGTATCGGCTGGGTAACGAAATTCTGCATCAGATTAATTAATCTATTCCAGCGTTAGTACAGTAGAGCAAGGTTAATTGAGATGACGATAAGGCCCAGAGTGGGAGTTGAATATATTCACCGATCAAAATGCCCAATTGATTGTCCCAGGTAGAAGACGCTGCAATTGCTGTATGTGTATCGTATAGAGATAGGGAGTTTTAGGCTTGAATGTTCATTGCAGCTCTTCAGCTCGAGTCAATCCGTCTGTTCTCGCAGACCGGCCAGAGCAAAATGTCAGTGTTAAGAGAGAGAAACACCGAAACCTCTGACACTACGTACTTCTCAGCCCAAGTACACACATTCTATTCAAGCAGCCTGGTGATCTGCACCCTGGCCGCTATTATTCGGACGAAGGGCCATTAAGGTGGACCAAGTGGCGCTCTACGAACGAACTGCGTTGTGAGTTCAACATTTAGTGCAATTTTTCATAACAGCTAGATACGTAGAAACAGTGCAAGAGGTTGGTTTATTCTATCAACATAGCTTAAATTATGGAAGATTCTAAGTAGTCCCTACGTGTCTTCTGAGGGGTATGGAACGAAAAGGCTGAAGGGCGCTTAACTGTTAAGCTGTGGAAGTGGCCGCAGTTCACTGATGTCAGAATGTCTCGATTTCGGCGAGCTAAGCCAAACGAATTGTAAGACTCACCATGGGAGTGTACCGGGAAACTTCGCGCACTATAAAAATGCTCAAGTACGATAGTCTGGATAGGCATGGCTAATGGCGTGGGTGATCTCAAGCGTGAACTGACTGTATCAGCTTTCGGACCGCACAGTATTGTCAGGTTTGAGCATGTAGTGCAATGCAGTGGTCAACTAAGGTAAAAATGCTAAGCGTCCTATTTATTCACAGAACATCGGATGGATGGCACCATTGTTACCGCTACCGAGTTAGGGAGAACAGGCCGATTCACTAAACTAACGCATGGTCTGGGCTTCGGTAGTAAGGGTGGTGGGCAGAATAAATTGTGACTAACTGTGGTTCTAAAATCGCAGTTTACACAAAACAGTACAATGGACTTACGAATAAGTGAAACGACTTGCAAACAGGGTAACAGTAAATCCACAAATCGTCTGAGCAAGGAAGGTCGGGGGCACGTCACAAAAACGGCTCAGTAAAACAAACATGATAAAGGTACGAAAGAAAATAGTAACTTCACAAATTTAAACAGAAACAGCATAAATGTGAAATATGTAAATTGATGGCAAAATTCGGCCGTCAGTCAGTATGAAACATCGATGCTCTTCCGGTTAAATTCATGGAAAAGACAAACTACTCACTAATTGTCAGTATAAGAACTCACTTTCGTGAGTTTGGAAGTCACAGCCACAAAAAGTATGGTCATGCCCACCAATGCTGCGCTTGACAGTCTGATGTTCAGGTTAGTCTAGGGCAGGGGCTAACCTGGGGGTAAAATAGGACTTTACGGTGGGTCACCAATCAGTCGCAAAACTAGCTTAACAACAAAATCATCTGTATCAAACTATGTTGCTAACTAGCTAGGTACTTTTGATTAACCATCTGTTAACAGTCATCAGTCACTGCAACTAGCTAACGCCTCTATCGGCTCCCGCGTCTATGGTTGTTCCTTTGAGTCCGGTAGTCGTTCGCCGGGTCGAATTATGGAGTCGATTGCAAACCAGCATTGGAGTGTTGGTCAAACAACCAGATAAGGTAACGCGCGATTGTTTACAAGTTGGAAAGGTCAACAAAGGCGATTAATATTCACGACGTATCGATACACACTGAAGGTGGGAAGCTATCATGCAGGAATTACTTGGAATGGAAGGATGCAGCACATAAGAAATCACTGACCTCTGCTCATGTTTGCTCAGGAATCAAATACGAAAGGAGCATAAGATGTGTTGGCTGGAGATAACAGCAGGCAATTGAAAGTGCACAGAAACATCGGGTCAGGAGTGACAAACAAGGCAAATAGCAAACTGGACGCTAGAGATAAATAGGTGTTTAATTGATAACATTCATCTACAGTTGTTGTGCTGGACGCCTCCTCGTGGCGACCGCTATGTGGGTGTTGGGTTACGCCCTTCTCCCTGCTAAGATCCAGGACACCAATCCGCATGAGTCAATGAAATAACCATGTGCTACACCCGCTGCCTTTCGGGTGTACATTTAGTCGAACGCTTTGGCTGAGCATCCGGGTCGTTCTCCTGTCACATGTGGACGCCATACCAGTATCCTAGTCCATCATCTTCGGAGGTTAGGAAGTGGTCGATGGCCCTCTTCCCGCAAAATCTAGCCATGGGAGACAACAGGTCTACGGGTTATAAGCTCAGCTCGATTGGCGTAGAGCACGAGCGCCACGCATTGTCTCTGACGGTGGGATGGCACTCCCGGATGCTCAAAGGTTTGCTACTGCCCCCCACAAGCCATGCAGCTCCTGGTCAACTTGATGCAAACCCGCCATAACCAACCTGCGTCTGGCCGTGGTCGCAGGTGAGTAACCTAGTACGGTCACAAAACATAGATGGATTGTTCCAGTACCTCGAAGGCTGCGTGTGACGGCCGTCAAGCAGATCCCAATCTATCGCTGCAATCACATTCCCGAGCTAGATCTGCTACCCACCGCCTTGTGGGTCAGATTAAGGAGTCAAATGCTCCGGGTGGAGTCACTCAAGAAAACCTCCAAATCACCCACCAACTTGTGGGTCAGGCTATTGAGCCAAAGGCTCCAGATAGAGTCCCTGAAGCAAACTTCCGAAGCTCAACCGCCACCTCACGTGCGATTCCCCACTAATGCAATCGTATGCCTTCGCGCAAAGCACAGGATCGGGTGCTGGAACCTCCGTACACGACTGGATAGGAACTCGAGTGAGGGCACTGAGCGACGCACTGCACTGGTCGCGATGGAATTGGCGCAGCACAACATCGATATTGCGGCGCTCAGTGAGACCCGGCTCGCTGATCAAGGTAAGATGCATGAAACAGGTGCTGGCTGCACATTCTACTGGGTGGGCAACGCCGCCTCAGCACCACGTGATCACCGGGTCGGATTTTCAATATCTGATTGCCTCAACTGCCAGCTGGTGAGTGAACCAACAGACATCAGTGCGCGACTGATGACCTTTCGCCTAGGACTCGGAAGAGGTGAGTTTGCCATTTTATAAGCACGTACGGTCCCACAATGTGATATCCTGATGACATGCGTAATCAATTCTACACTCAGCTATTCTCCGTGATACGGTCTGTGCCGAGGAGCGACCGACTATTTCTGCTGGGTGATTTCAACGCGCGCGTTGGGCGTGATGCATCGATGTGGACAGATGTTATCGGTCCGCATCGCATTGGTTCAGCGAATGCGAACGGTGACAGACTGCTCTCACTGTGTGCCATTCACGGCCTGACGATCACGAACACTCGGTTTGCACTGAGTGCGAGTGATATACTAACTTGGACGCACCCGCGGAGTGGTCACACACACCTGCTGACTATGTCATCATACGTCAGCGTGATATGCGTGAAATGCGCATGACACATGTACTGCGTGGAGCTGAGTGTGGTACTGATCACAAATTGGTGTGGACCAAACTGTAGATATATTTTCGTAAATCTATATATTGCACTCTCACTATGAATCGGCGCAAAGTTAACCTTCTCTCCGTCGGTACTATGGGGAAACGTATTGAGCTGGAGAAAGGGATGGCTGCACGCCTGTGTGATGTGGAATGCATAGCCGCAGTGGGCAACCTGTGGCACCACATTCGCGACCAGATGACAGCTGCGGCCGGGGAAACCATCAGTTGCGCAAACCGCAAGCGGTTGGTTGTTTGGATGGCAATATTGGACGACTGGTGTTTGGCGTCGGAGAGGAAAGCAGCATTTGCTGAACATGTGGCAGACCCCAGTCACTTGAGGAAGAAGAGTCAGTCTCGCATACTTCGACGGCGAATGACCAGAGAGCTCCGTCGTATTATAAGTGCATGATGGACAGAGAAGTCGAGACAGATGGAATGCTACGCCGAGCGCCGCCGACAAAAGGAATACTTAGACTCCTTGAAAGCTGTGTATGGACCGAGGTTGGAGCTGCTGAGGACGCTGATCGATGGTAGCGCGGACGCTAACTACACACAGACTGCAGCCATAATGCAGGTCTGGCGGAAAATTTCCGACTGTCTATTGAACACCCGTTCAGAGAACGACTGGCCTACATTGAACAGTCTGAAGCAGCACGAGGTGTAGATGAATCTGGCGGACACGCCGACACAGGATGATTTGCGGAGAGCACTTGCTCAGCTGCGAAACGGCAAGTGTGCCGGTGTCGACGGGATCCCGCCTGGAGTATTGAAACACGGCGGACCCGCGTTGGTGATTGCTCTGCACCACTCGGTTTCAACGCGTGTGGATTGAGGAGGAGGTGCCTCCAGAGCTGAAGGATGCCCTTGTACTATCACTGTACCACGGAATAGGAAGCAAGCAATGTGCCACGAAGTATCGTGGCATCAACTTGCTGAGTTGCGTGGACAAGGTGATTGCCCGAGTCCTGCTCAACCGCCTCGTCAATCACCTTGTGGAACCGAACTTGGCGGAAGAGCAATGTGGATTCCGTTCGGGTCGGTGCACTATGGATATGGTGTTTGCGGCTCGTCAGTTACAGGAGAAGTGTAGAGAACGACACCAACCGTTGTACTCGCTTTTTGTTGATTTCACCAAGGCATTTGATACGGTGAACCGCGACGCATTGTGGCTAGCGTTGAGTAAGTTTGGTTACCAGCGTAACTTTGTACGTTTAGTTGAATGTCTGCACAGTGGTATGCGGGCGAGGGTGCAGCTGAGTGGAGAAACCTCGGATGACTTTGCTGTTATCTCTGGTGTGACGCAAGGCGGTGTCTTAGCTCCTGCCCTGTTTATTATTTATCTACACGCAACGAT